CAATGCAAACAACACAGGATTTCACAAAAAAAAAGACAACAGGATAGCAAGAGTGGCTATCATAATGTCTCTTTTCTAGTCTCTTTTCATAGTTGAGCATACCTTCACACACAGTAATATCAAACATAACAAAATAGTATAAAACCGTTAAAAAGAATGGAAGCATTACAGGACTTCAAAACCAGATAACAGGAAATGAACAGTGGCTACTGTAATAGCCTCATTTTCCTCAAAAAAGTTGTCCATACCATCACACATAATAGTCAAATAAACCACAACAGGATAGGACCAATCAAAACCGAAGAACAAAAGCATGGTAGGGCTTCAAAACAAGATGATAGGAAATCAGGAAGTGGCTGCCAGTGCCTTGTTTTCTTTAAAATAGCTGTTCATATCATCCTCCAGTATTTTTAAGAGATCATTTTTTGTTTCAGTGCTTTGCATTGTTTCAGATGACGTGTATGCTTTAATTTTCACCTTCATTCACCATATGTAATGTGTTTGTCCTTCCCCCTCTAATAGCTTTTAAGAGTTTTTCGTTATGTTACATTTTCAGTATGTGGTTTGAATATGTGTGCCTTAGGTATGTTTGATTCTTTTTGTTTGTATTGTATGTGTGTGCTCAGATTTTCTGAGTTTCTTGGGTTTATGGTTTGGTGATTTTCATTACTTTTGGGAAATTCTTGACCACTGTTGAAATATTTCCTCTGATTTTTACTCTATTTCTTCATTTTCTGAGATTTCAATTACATGTGTCAGACCATTTGCTGTTATCCTATAGTTCTTGATTGCTTTGTTCTTTCTTTCCTCTGCTCTTTATGTATTTGTTTGCAATTTAGATAACTTCTGGTGACTTATCTTGAAAATTTGGCTTCCTTCTCTGTATTGAGAGTGCTGATGAGTCTTGAAAAGGCACCCTTATCCAAAGGTGGAAAGCAGACTGTGGCTGCCCAGGGTGGGTACAGGGATTGTGGAGAGTGGCTGTGAAGGAGTACATACTTTCTTTACCAGGCAGTTAAGGTGCTCTAAACTTCACTAAGGAGATGGCTGCACGACTTTGTGGCTCTACCAACATTACATTGGTTTCTATACTTTCAATTACATGGGCGGGGGATAAAGCTCAGTGGCGCAGTACTTGCCTGGCAAGTGCAAGTTCTAAGTTCGATTACTGGTACCAATAAAATGAAAGAAAAGAGAAGAAAGTAAAATAAAATAAATTGCAGGGTACATGAATTCTATCTTAATAAATTTATTGTATATATTTGAAGCCCTCATGCTTTAGATTTGAATGCTACCTCATTAAAAATCTAGCAAAAATCAGGGAGGAAAAAGATATCTTACTGATGGTACTGCAAGACAGATGGAACAGAAATAATTCTGAAGGAAATGTTATCCTAGTGGAAGCTAGAAGAAGGACAGAGTTTATACATATTATTTTATTCTGCTTTATACATTTGATTCAAAGCATTGGAGATTGGCTGTACTAAGTAGTAAGGGTTCTTTATATTTCTTGTCCATCCATGAATTTTGTTAATTCTCACAGATAAGATGTGATCATAGTTACTAGTTTTCTAGTTAAAAACTTCTAAGACATCTCACTTTTTGTTAGTTTTCCCCAGATTTTGTATTCATGCACATTGGCCGTGCAGGTCAATCGCCCTGGTAGATGCGCTCCACACCAGCTCTTCCCACCTCCCCATCTGGCCCCCCAACCACACACGTTTCAGGAGGTTTCACTGTGGATACCATAATGAATTTTCATCATGTTTGTATCCCCTTTACCTGCCTTTATACCTCTTCTTTTTCATCCTTCTTCCCTTTCTCTTGTCCTAATAGTCTATCTTCCACTTTCTTGTCATTTTTTTCCAGTTTTACATATTAGGGCAACATGTGATATATGTGTCTGAGTCTGGTTTATTTTACTCAACACAGCGATTTCCAGATCCATCTATTTTTCTACCGATGACAAAATTTTTTTCTTCCTCTGGTCAAATAATACCCCATTGTGTTACATGTTAAAGCTGCTCTTTACTGTGTGTCCTGCAATGCCTGAGTCATCGGGGATGGATGTCATCTTGTAGTTACTTGGCTGAGAGTTTCCTTGTCACCTCTTGTGTTGTGAAACTGAATTCTAATAGGGCCTGTCGAGAATTGCCTGCAGAAAATCTGAGGATGACTCCCCTACTGCAGGTTCACTAGGAAATCCATAGGCATCGTGCTGATCCTCTTACCCTGCAGCACACACACCATACTGTGGATGGTTGTGTGTTTCTAAACACTCAGAGCCCTGCTAGGTGTTAAGAATTAGGCTGCACAACATATTCAGTGAAAAGACAAGGTGTGAAACACTGTGTGTAATACCCTCCTGTCTTAGTTCCTTTCTCATTGCTGAGATACATGTACCACTTAAAGGAGGAAACATTTATTTTGGCTCACAGTATGTGGAGGTTGCAGTATATAGTTGTCTGTTTTCAAGGCAGGGTGGCATGGCAGAGGAGAAACAACGCATGGCTTGGTTCAGGAAGCAGAGACAGATATCAAAGGAAGGGGGGGGATGGATCCCCTCCAAGCTACGCCCCCCCCCACCTGCTCCAGTCAGGCTTCACCTCCCAAATCACTTTAAACTATAAAGTCATCAGTGGACCAATCCATTGATGAGTGTCATGTATCCATGATCCAGTTACCTCCCTAAAGCCCCACCTCTCAGCCTATGATACAAACTACAACTATCATTTAAGAAAAACTCGAGATAAAAATATCTTTTAGCCAGGCATGGTGGAACTTGCCTGTAATGCCAGCACTCTGAAAGGCCAAAGCAGGAGAATTTCAAGTTTGAGCCCGGCCTAGTGACTTAGTGAGAAAAAATAATGCTGAGATCTAGGGAGGTAGCTCAATCCAGAGGCCGTAGGTCTAATCCCTAGTACCATTGATAAATATATACATAGATAACATAAAAAGTCTTTTTATACCATATCTCTGGAAGGCTGATGACATGGCTGACTCTGGAAGGAACATTGGTACTAGGCAGGTAGGAGTGGCACAGGTGCATATTCTTTGTGTCTCACTTTTGAGCGTATCAATGTATTGGCTATTCAAAGATAAATCCTCCTAAGGTAGTTAATCAAACTTGAGACTTAGATTGGCCCTTGATAATTTACCCTGTGTGCCCATTTGTCATCTCATATGTTTTCCCTCTTCAAGCTGTGTACTTCTAATTATTTATCTACAACAGACATATGGAAACCTCCCCCTCACTCTCAGAGTCTAACAGAAATGCCAGAGGAAAAAGGTAGCGTTGCTAACCCCTGGGACAGATTGCTAGCCCAGTGGTTCTTACACTGCAGCCTGCACTGGAGTCCCCTGGAAACTTGTTAGTACACAGTGTGCAGGCTCCACATCAGAGTTTCCCAGTCAGCAGATCTGGAGTGGACCAAGAACCTGCAGGGCTGGCAAGTTCCCAGAGGATGCTAACAGGAACCACACTTTGAGCACCGGGTTCTAGGCTCAACCAGTTTTTTCCATGAAGTGTTGACATATAGTTTTGACCCAGTTGCGTTTCATATTAACCTATGAAGAAACAGAAGTCAGGAGAGATTTCTCTCAGTGGGTGTGCATTTAGGAGGAAGGGGCAGCAATGCCTGCCAGGCTCCTTCTCCTGAGACAAAGTGTACTTCTCCACAGCAGGGCTGACACATCAGAAACCTGGCTGCTGCTTCATCTACAGACATGCTTGCAGTCTCAGTCACTCTTGTGAGTGGCCCAGTGAAAAGAGCCCGGGCCCCAAGAGGGGCAGGCACTGGGCCTCTGGAGATCCGGGGATTACGGGAGGACCTGTGGCCGAGGATTGACAAGAGTCGCGGCCTGACAAGGCACCTGACTCACCATCCCCCGTTAGTCAGGCGAGGGCATTTTGGGCGATAGGAGGTTTCTGCAGGAAGTGTCATGGTAGCTGAAGCCCACCTGGGATCAAACCCACAATGCACGTGTGGCTGGACACAGGTGAGGGTCGTGGATCTGTCATTTGCTACATGTCTAGGCCTCCTCGGGTGGACAGGGTGGCCTGCGGTTGGTTTCCTGATGTTTTCACCTTGTCGTTTTGCTCCGGTTTCTCCCGTCTGACCTTCCATCTCTCTCCTGTGTATTTGCCTTTGCTCTACCTCCTGCCTCACAATGTGGGGGCTGAGAGGGAAGTTCTACCCTATGCACCCCTCTGCTGAGAGCCCAGTCACTCTCAGGCCCTCTTAACAGGGTGCTCGGCATGCCGAGGGAAGCCACCACCTGACACTGTGAGGTTTGTTACGGAATCCCGTGAGCCCTTTCAGTGTAGATGTCTCCCTGCTGAAACGCCATGGTGGGGGCTGCAGGCTGTTGGGTTTGCAGAGTGGCCTTCACAAGTGATCACACTTCTGAAGGGTGAGAGGGAAACAGGCTCCTGAGGGAGAGAGGGGGACTGAGCAGGGTGGGCTCTGTCAGGTGCCAGGGTGTGGTTTCTCGGGAACGGAGGGCATGGTCTCAGCCCAGGGGGCAGTGAGGGGTGACTCACGCATCTGATGACAGTCCTCGCCTGCCCCAGTGCCCCCTGCCCTTGGCCATTTCACCAAGGGGCAGGCCTCTGGATTGCCTGCAGGAAGGTGGCTCTCAGGCTCTTCCTCCTCTTCCCCACCCGCCTGTCCCCAGACCCTGTTGCCTCACTTGTCACTCGAGCACACCCTGTTTCTTTTGTTTGTTACATGTCCTTAGAGGAGGAAGAAGGCACTCCTTCAGGTTCTCCACATTAACTATTGTTCTAGAACTAAAAATCTGTAACCCCCACGTGGTAATAAAAGCCACCTATTGTCCCCCCTGGACCAATTCCTGTTGTGACCAGCAGCATTGCCACAAGATGCCCCTCCCAACTGCTCCCACAGCCCTTTTGTGCGTCTGTGTCTGGCATGCGCCACTAAACTTAGCTCTCTGCCTCTGATTTAGCTTTCCCTTCCTCCTGTCCTCCACCCACCCAGGTAGGACTACTTAGCCGGCTGCCCCGCCTCGGCTCAGGGCATCCTCAGGGCTTCCTGCATCCCTGGGAGGCAGCCCTCCAGGACAGGAAGCGGATTTCCAGGACAGGAAGTGGATCTCCAGGACTGGAAGTAGACCTGCTGGACTGGAAGCGGACCTCTTGGACTGGAAGCAGATCTCCAGAACACTCTTCCTAGCCTCTTGGGCCAGTCACCACAACAAACCTGGGAAGATTTGGTGAGTGGACAGAGTTTTAAGCCGTGGAGGATAAGGGAAGGGGAGGGTGAGGGTGAGGGGACTATGCATCTCCCTGGACATTCTGGAGAGACAGTGTCCTCAGGTGAGAGAGGACACCTGGCAAGCTTCTCTGAGCAGGTGGCTGGGAAGGCGGCATATTGGTGAACTCAGTGGGAACTATGCTGGCACCAGCCAGGAAAAAGACCAACATCCTGCTGGATGCCCTGAGGACATCTACTTTTGATTGTTTCTCTGACCTGTAGTCCCTTAGCAAGCGGATTTCCTCAGGGTTGGAGCACAGACACCATAACCATACCTGGTTCGGTGGGACTGAGCTGTTCAGGTCCTGGCCAGGAGCTCCTATGGGCACTTTCAGACACAGTCACCTTCATTTTGACTGAGAAATCCCCTGCACTAATAGTCATAGAAGGAGCCTGTTGAATGAAGATGATGCCACCAATAGTGTCAATAATATTTCTAGACTGTGGGACACTTTTGGGACGTCATATGTGCATTTGTTTTTGTCTTGGCTGTAGGGGTTTGAGATAGGGTCTCACTATGCAGTGCAGGCAGGTCTTCAACTCACTGTGTTGCCCAGGCTGACCTTGAATTTGCAACAGTCTGCTTGCCTTAGTCTCCCTAGTGCTGGGACCACAGGTGTGTGCCATCAGCCTGGCTAATATGCAAATGTAGGAGTGTTTCCATTGCTCTCTGAGCTCTTGCTAGGAAGGACAACGGTCCTTCTCTCACCCCTGCCCCCTGCATAGATTCTCACTGTTACACGCTTTGCACTCCTCAGGCTGCACCCGCTGGATGTCTGATCTCCCTCACTGTAAAGCTGGTGGCAGAACAGGACCAATTCCAGTGAAGTAAAGAAAGTGCGTAGGGTGGAAGGACAAAGGGAGAGAGGAAATAGGAACGGAAGGTGTAGCTTGTGATGAAGTATCCCGAGTGTTCTCCCCCACCCCATGCTTCTAAACCTGCTTTGAATGGTGGACCTGTTATTAATGTGAGCGAGCCGCTGCTTAGTCTGCTTTGAAGGACAGAACTAAGTAAGCAGGTCCGGTTCTTCTATTAAGGAAGTAACTCCTGTTACTTTAAAGGATTGTGAAGATTAGCTGATAAAGAGGAAAAGCAGCCTCCAGCTAGAAAATGCAGTTTGTGTCACTGAGGTGGGACTTCATTTTGGGGTTCAGGGGAGGATGACCGGAAGCCAGCAATGCACCTGTGAGCAAGGCGGCCCTAAAGAAAAATCTTCAGGCTTGCAACGCTGGAGCCTCCGGGACGGAGGAGTCACAGGAGTCTCCTTACTAGCAAGTCAGGCTTCCCAGCTGATGAAGGTGCTGCCTCTGGTGCTTGTGCACAGGCCAGGCAGGCCCTGGTGGTGTAGTCACCACTAGCTGTTGGCTTGCTTGAAACGGAAATCTGCAGTGAGAAAAAGACGTACATAGATGCAAATGGAGTGGGATTCTACTGTCAGGGCCTGAAGCCAGTGTGGCTGCAGGAATCACCCAACGTCCCTTTCCCTGTGCTGAGGAGGAGGTCTCTCATCAACAAACCCCGGTGCCATGGGACAGTGTGGTATCAGACTGTCTGGAGCTCAAGCTGTAGGGAGCCATTGAAGCCGGAGATGGATCACATGTGTGGGACTAAAGCAAGGCCAGCCCAGAAAACAGAGAGCCCAAAACAAGCCAGGTAAACAAGCTGTTCCAGCGCCGAGAAGGCAAGGAGCCAGGCCAGCCAGGCAGACAGGTTGCTAGGCAGCAGCACTCAAGTTGACATTCTTCTTTTGCGAGTATAAATAAATGTGCTAGAGTGGTTGAATAGTTCGTTGACTGCCATCGGCAGAGTAAGGGCTCCGCCTGACCCCAGCTTTGTCGCTTCCTTATTCTCTCACCTCTCCCATTCCGTCACCCCAGGAGCCTCAGAAGCTGCACTGGGAGCAGCCCTTCCCTGGGGGCCCATGCAGTCCAGGCCGTTGGCTCCACTGTGGTGCGGGACCCTTGGTGAGATGCAGACGTTTCTGATAGGTGTCTGGAAGGGACAGGCTTCACTTGGCCCACACATGTCTTCAGAGACGCCTCTGAAAAATCTTGTCCCTAAAATCTGTGACCATATCACAGAGGTTTCATCCTGCCTTTGATAATAGCTTTGCACAGTGAGTGGTGATGCCCGTCACATCACGGCAGGCTGTACTGGCATGTGCTGCGTCGTCACTTCCAGTCTTGTGAAGGCATGTGCGCCTACCTTTCTAGTTTCCTACTTTTATTTCTGATTAGTATAAACTTACAGTCCACGATGATTAGATTCATCATTGGGTGCTGGTCCCTGTACATAGCACATCGTCATTCTTTTTTGAGTTCCCTTCCTCTGCCTTTCCTGTCCCCTCCCTCCACCTTGCTTTTCAGTTTCAATTTTGATTTGTGTGTGTGTGATGCTGGGTATTGAACCCAAGGCCTCACACACGCTAGGCCAGGCGGAGCCCTGCCCCATCCCAAGGCAGAGTTTTAGAGTGCTTCCTGCTGTTTTTTGTATAACTTGTCATGAAGCGTAGAATTTGATCATAGTTCCTGAAAGATGAGCATTAGGATCTCGGCCAAATCGTACCTGTCTCTTACAGTAGGGTTCCTCTTGGAAAGGGTGCCCTTTTTCCAGAAGAGAATGTAAACCGATCCACACTGTTAACCTCACCCAACTCTCTGTCAGACCTGATTTTCATCCATTTTTCGCATGCCTGAGTGTCAGGGAACCAAGCTCCTTGCTCTCGTGTAGTTTTCATCCCAGTGGGAGAGGAAGACAGCAATGTCCAGCAGCAATGCTTAAGGCACAATGAAGAGTAATGGACAGAATGTCCGGAGAGAGATTGGTTGGAGGGCAGTTTTACAGAGGATGGTCCAGCACAGCTTCTCCGTGGAAGCGCTATATAGCTGAGCACCATGTAAAGTGAAGGAGTGGCTCTTGAGCACACCTGGATGGAGAGGTTATTTGAGGTAGAAAAACTGGCAGGTGCAAAGGCCCTGAGGCAGGTGTGTACATGATGTGGCTGGAGGAATTTCAAGCAGGTCAACAAGCCCAAATAGAGGGGTAAGGAAGTGACAGGAAGTGAGTTTGAAAGCAGTCTCTCGTCACCCGTGGGACATTTCTCTGTTCCCCACAGCTTGTTTTGGGAAGTTGTGTCCCTCCCAGCTGTTCCCATACTCCTTTTTGGTGTGTGTCTCTGATCATATTTCCCTCCCTCTTGCCCTCCCCACCCATGTGGCACTGGAATCTGCTGCGTGGTGGCCATGGGGTGGGTGTGGGTTTTGTTCCTGTGTGATGGGCAGAGTGGGGAGTGTCATGATCCAACCTCTGTGCGACCCCTGGCTGAGGGAGACGAGACCTGGAGAAGACTGGTCTAAAAGCACGGTTTGGTGGCTTGGTGGCTGGTGGCCGTGGCGAGGCTGAGGGTGGCCACACTGCAGGCAGAGCCAGCAGGAGTCCGGTGGCAGAGGAATGGGGAAGTGGAGCCAGGATGAGGCCTGGTCCTGAGCCCTGGAGGGAGGGGTAGCCGTTGCCTGGGTGGGGCTGCTGCGGGAAGGGTGCGTTCGCTGGAGAAGACGGAGGACCCTCCTGTGTGTCCTTAGATTAGCAGGTGGAGGGTGCTGGAGGTCAGTGGGGAGGGAGGAGGATGCAGACTCGGCTGGGATAAAAGACCACCAGTCACTTGGGGGCCACAGAGGAAGTAGCAGGACAGAGGGGTGCAGTGTCCCCAGAAACCAAGGGGGAAAAGGCCCTTCAAGGTGGGAAGTCAGACACAGTGGTGTGTACCTGTAGTGCCCACACTCAGGAAGCTGAGCCCAGGAATTCAAGGCCAACCTGGGCAATGTAGTAAGAATCTGTCTCAAAAAAAAAACAAAACAAAACAATGTGATTACCTGTGTCAGTGCAGCCATGAGGTATCTGAACCATGGTCAGCAGTAGCGTTGTCCTCCTGGGGACTTTCTAGACATGTCTGGTCCATAGGACTGGAAATTCATTGAGGCCAGAGGTGATCATATTTTTTCTGTCACCCGCTTCACTTGACAGGTCTGCTGCATGAGGCCAGGCCTGGACTGTCACCTTCTCTGCTTGCGGACTTTTCCTTGGCAGGGGTTGGGGACAGAGATAATGAGGAAGGGCCAGTCCTGCCTTGGGCAGGGGAGGCAGGGCATGTCTCAGCGCTGAGCAGAGGGGTTAGGGGTTCAGAAGAAGGAACAGGAAAGGAACAAAAGTGACTCAGTCTGTGGGCCCTTAAACGTGGTCATCCTGCTCCGACCTGAGGAAGAGGGGAGCCTTTAGGCTCCACTAGCAGCTGCAGCAGTGGCTTCTCTCGGTTCTTTCTCTGCAAAGTGCGCGTGGCCCTGCTGTGGCTGGAGGACGGATGGCACCCTGAGCCCGTGCCCCACTTCCTTAGGTGACATCGTCAGCTGCCAGTCCAGATCCCTGCAGGGCAGAACCTCCGGGGGCCCGTTCCTGGGGGAACCTCACAGGCAGTGCTGTGGGACGGTGGTGACCTCTTTCCTGGCCAGGTTCCAGGCTCTGTGTCCATGGGAGTGCTGGGCCAGAGTGTGTTGACCTGTAACCAGAGGCAGCGTCTGTGGTGGAACTGCCACAAGGACTCCTGCCTGGGTCTGTTTTCTATTGCTATTAGAGAATACTGCAAGCTGCAGCTTGTAAAGAACAGAGATGTGCTTCTCACAGTCATGGGGTCTGGGAAGTCCAGGTCAGGGGACGGGCATCTGGCAGGAACATCCTCTTTTTTTTGGTACAGGAGATTGTATTCATGACCCTGCACTTGCCAGGGAGGTGCTTTTGCCACTGAGCTAAAGCCCTGGCCCCCAAGGGCATCCTTTTGTGTCAACCCATGACAGAAGGAGGAAGGCAAGAGGGCACATGAACTCGCTTTTGTAACAAACTCACTACTGAAATAACAGACCCTCTGCCGTGATCCTAGCCATCTGTTCATGAGGACAGGGCTCTCA